ATCAGGATGTGAAATTCTATTATCTTATTCTATGGATTCTTTTAAATAAATACCTACCTAATGACATATCCACATACATTATCAAATGTTACAATGTATATATCATGGAATTGTCATATAATAATGATAAATATGTATATTTCGTTCCTTATTTAAAACAAATGAACAGAGCAGAGGAAATTGTATAAAATTCTATTTATGCAATATGTCATAATGTGGAGTTCGCCCACTTGTTTTGTTTTGTTTTTTTTTTAATAAATATATTATACTGTTTTATACTTACACTGTATTAAACTATATATATTAATAAACGGTATATAATTATTATGCTTAATAGACTTATACAGTATGATTGACTTTATACTGTATATACACGTAATACTGTAATTACAACAATTATATATTAAAGACATGCTGTACATATTGAATATAATTACTGTTTATAGACTTTATGCTGTATATAATGATCATCCTTTATAGCATTACACGGTATATTATGATTATTTTTATAGATTTATATTGTAAATACAATTATTGTTTTATTTTATAGATATGTTTCTGTATACAGTGTTTGTATTTTTAAGACATTGAACTTTATTCGTTGATAAGACAAATGAAAATGTTTCCATATAATGTTAACTAGCTACAATAATATGTTATTACCATTGCTATGAACTAATCCTGAAATTCAACTGCATATGTAAAAGCTTTAATTTTGGGAGGTGTTTAAACATTTCAAAATTTTAAAGGTGCTTTGTAGCGTTGTTTTAAAGTACATCAATTTAAGAGTCATTCATAGAACCTAATAGAACATTCGAATTATGAAGGTACAATTTCAAGTGGCCATTTTAATATTGAAGTTGGAATTTCGGGATTAAGTAGTTTACACTTTTGGCAAATATCTGTACGGATTCTTAATCAATCCTTTTATAGCTTGAATTTAATGTTACTTGGTATGGTGAATCGTAGTTGCGCTAATGAGGATTTGACATATGCATCTTCTATCTAGATATCTAGATATATTTTAAACAAATATTCCATTTGTACATGTGGTCAATTCAAATATTCATTGAAAAAACAAAAAGTGGTAATACACTTTATCAGATTTGCTAGGATATGTCTTAGGAAATATAGGACTATCTTAAGATACGTCTAAGGATATAAAACGTCTTAGAAATATCTTAAGTTAAGATGTCCTAAGTTCCATCCTATGAATTTATTGATAAATTAAAATAGATATTACTTGTAGGTGGAATTTGCATGTCCATCACATAAATTTCATATAGTAATTATTGAAAGGCCTCACAAGATAATCCTAATTTTAAAAAAAACTGTAAACAGGTAGAAACTACACGCGCGGAACCATATGTTGGTGATCCCCTTCTCAACCCATAAACTACGATTGAAAAGTATATCGGTCTGCCTCTCTATACTCAGAGCCGTAAAAACTGGGGGGGGGGGGCTCCATATTCATGGTCATATATAGTACACTATAGAAAACAAACCTACTTTATGGATGTGTTCCTCAATAATTATGTTATTTATAACTTTTGTTTGCTTACCAAGGAAAGTTTGCTTGGTAGTGTCCCTCCTCCTGAATGAAAAATAATTGCCCCCCCCCCCAATGAAATTGTTTCCTACGGACCTGAAACTATAAAATTAATAATACGGAGAGCTAGCAAAATATAGAAATATCATTTTTCAATTATGACATTAGAATATACAATAAACTTAACAGTATAAACTTTATATTTATCACCAACAGAGATCGAAAAGAATAAGGTATTATATATATTTTCAAAACATAGATTCTCTTCATTGTTGTTTTGTTGATTGTATGTTGTTTAACGTCCCTCTCGAGAATTTTTCACTCATATGGAGACGCCACCACTTGCTGGTGGAGAGCTGCAAATTTTGTCATATACTCAGCACTTACGGCCATTGAGCAGTGAGGAATTTTTTTTCGTGCCAGCACCTACTGCGACACGGGACCTCGGTCTCATCCGAAGGACCAGTCTCCACGTCCCACAGTGGGATTCGAACCCGCGACGTAAGGATCAACTCCTTACGCCGCGACTCTAGAGCAGACGCTCTAACCACTGTGCCACGCGGGCGACTCTTGTCATTGTTCTTCCCAAACTTCGCGTTAAACATACACTTTGACACGACACGGTGTTTACTAAATTGAATTCAATAAATATCAAAAATATCAAAAAACCCCTGTCGACAGGTCACACCTGCCCACTGATATTTGTCATGTTTAATTTAACAATACAAATTTTGAGTAGAGTAAACACAGACCTCTGAAAACAGAGGTTGGATCAGGTGCCATGGACAGTGAGCCTCCCCTGTCGACCAGCTACACCCACTGTGTGCTCTTTGTCATGTTCGCAGCACAGTTAAGGCTGCAATAAGTAGGCGGGGCCTAATTTATGCGGGAAATGCTTACTATGGCATCACACAAAAATATAAGTTTTTCACATTACCACAAAATGAAATGATTTCCTATTTTAAATTGTTGGATAGCTTTAAACTACATCAATACTAACTAGTGCATGCATTTTTGTTGTTGGTTAAATCCCACAGAGCAATATATAAACAATTCACTGATCGCAATGCACTTGTCAATGTGACGTCATATCGTAAAATTTGACGCAGTTTGTATGCAGTGAGAGGCGGATCAAGTTATATTTTATACAATGAAAAATATATTTTGTAATTAAATAAAATATTATTTGCAGATATATAAGAGGCCATTAACTTGGATGCGATGTCTATTATATGATTTTATTCATATACTTCCCGTACATTCCCTAGACAAGCGATACTTCCGTATATTTGTATGCAGATTCACTGAAGAGTAATAGAGGGGTCGTAATAAATCGATATATTGCAAGGGCATACCCTCAATGAATTATTACAAGCTTTTACACATAAACTCAAGAAGTATGAAGATATTTGAAAAGTGCTGCGAACCTGTTGAAATCTTGCAAATGAATTAATTATATCTATATTTAAAGTACTTGACCAGCAAAATATTCAACATACGGTCTAACAAATGTAATTTTAGCAATTAGATAGTAGAATCTATATAGGTTCGCACCACTTTTCACAAACTACAAAGAGTGTTGAAAATAATTGTATATTAAACTTAGATTTTTAACTTGGTTATGCCCTTGCAATATTGGAATTTATAGATGACCTCAATACTCCAGGTATATTTGCTAAAATCACGTGACTGCAACATCACGTGACAGTTTAAATAAGAAATCTAATCGTCCTCAACATGTAGTTTTCACATTGCATTTGTCCGATAATAGTAAAGTCCTAAAAAGAATCGCCCATCCTTGTAAAGAATGTATTTTCTATGTAAAAAATTCGCCGATATTTCCATTTGGCACCTTAACTGTACTGCGTTTTGTTAAACAAAAAAATGTAAACTTGTTACTAAAGGATATAAATTCAAAAACCATTTTTTGGACATAGATGATTCTTTAAATAGTCCTTTTCAAATTTAAATGTTGACTCAATTTCAGGGCGGCCATCTAGTATTGGATTAGGTTTTTCAAATTAAGTAGTTTACATCAGTAAATATCTGTACAGATTTTTAATTCATCCTTTAAAAGTTTTGATGTTACTTGTTTTGGTGATTCGTTGCTGCCGTAACGCTCTGGCATATGCATCCTTAATCTAGATATCAAATAGAGCAGATTTTCCAATTCCATTTTTTACAATTCAAACCCTCATTGAAAAATACCTTCTCCATTTCTTCAGCATAAGTTACATCACAGTCTTTGATAACATTTTGTAGCAGTCTTCTTTTTGGATGCATGTCGGTCACATTGCCTCCAAATCAACATCGTAAACATTAATAACAAAATGGCATAATTTCTAATCACAGTTGTTAAAAAAAACCCATAGAAATCATGTACTCCAACTTTTCCCCTTGTATATATTGTTCTTTTCACTCGGTTATAAAATGAACTTATAATTCTTTTCTTAAACTTACTGATGTCATTTGGAACAATTACTTTTATTATAATGAGACTCTTCACCATGAGGGCTTTTGATAAAACATGCTCTCTTCTTAGATTTCATTTGTGAACAAAGTACATGTACTCAGGGAATGGCAATTCTTTTTCGTCCTTTAAAAAACAGATTTGTGATTACTGTAACTGGGGAATTTTCGTTATTAAGCAAAAAAATCTTATATCTGACAACAGGTTACCTCTGTCATTTCCAGTCAGTTTTTTTTTTCTTTTTTTTTTAATAAAATTACATCACCAATACACTCTTAACTGCAAAATACACTATTCTGAATATACAGTTCATGCTTTTCAAATCTTTTTATATTTACATAAAATTATAAAAAGAGTAAATATTCATGTCTTCTATTTCTTTTTGTAGTTCATTTTTCAGTATCGACCTCTGCATCAAGCAGGGTGACGGTTGAACCTCATGGAAATTTTGTGACAAATTGTAAACAAATCTATGGTAAGTTTCTTCCTTGACTTTTGCACTTCCCGGAATCAGGTACGTTGGAAGATTATTGATGCAAAGTAGAAGTCAGGACCATTTGTCCATCTTAATGTAAAACGATTTGTCTTAACATGCAAACATAACTTCTTCTATAGCAATCCTCAGAAAAAAATGAATTTCATAAGTTCTTATCCTTATCGTGGATGTAGGATTTTGTGTTGTTTGTCATTGCAAGATTTTTCATCAGTCTCTGATATTACATCGTTATATTTCCAGAAATAATTTACGAAAAAATATTTTATCTGCACATGTGATACAGGCTAATATAGAAACATTACTTTTGTGCATTTCAAACCTTGTCAAGACTTTTTTTATTCTTCCCGTATATATTCTTTGAGGAAGCTTTGGATAGGCTTCTTCAACTTTAAGATGACGAACAAGTTATAAGTTTTTTTTTTCAAAAGTGCAACGCGCTTAAACGCTGCTAAAATTGCAACAATTGTCGGAAAAATTCTCAGAACTACACTTAGTAGAGAATTTAATGAGAAAGTTAAGCTTTAATGAATCATATGAATTACATGATATATGACGAAAATACCGTCATGATATTGACATGAACTGGTCGTTGTAAATGGCGGAAATGAAATAAAAATATCATACAATAGCATACTTGCTCCAATTTACAAAGTACTGAAACTTGATTTAAAACATTTTCTGTCTATCAAATTTGTATTTTAAGAATGTAGCGTCTTCAATCAAATGCATGAATAGAAAATACTGATAGTTCCTTTTTTGGATAAACAAATATCCTGAGTTTAATCATTTTACTTCAGACTCCACTAGGTGTCCATTTTCTGTCTTTTCACCACAGAATGATTCTTCGCTGAGGTTCAATGGAAGCGTCTCCTGTCGACCGTTAGAATTTAAATCCTCTCTGTGTAAAGAGTCACGGTTAAATGAATCTCTGTACGAGTCGCGGTTAAAATCTGTTGCTGTCGAAGTTCGCACCTGCGTATAAACAGTCCCGGAAGTGGTGCTTAACTCACGACGAGGTCGATATAGTGGTCTGCCGGATATCCGGCTGAAACAGTTTTTCAGGTGTCCGTGTACCTGTTATAAGAAATTTAGAATGTGTTAATGAATTGCAATCAATTAATTCATTTTTGATTTATATATTTATTTGGATAAGCCTCTGAACATCTGACTCATCACAACTTTTGGAAATAACTCCATGATGCATATACTACCTATATACATTGCATTGCAAAAATGAATGATAAAAAAAAATTAAAATCTACCTCTCCATTGAAGATGCAGAATATCAATGATACAAATGCACCCTGAAATCAAAAAAGTATACATTTTTTTTCCAGTCGAATAAATTGTATTTTATTTTATAATCAAGAATAATTATAATATCAATTCAGCATGCATAACATATGTACTATATTTATGCAACTTATGCACTTGATAATCATTTAACCCTGTAAGATTTAAGACAGTAGGGTTTAGAAGGTCATTTTTTGTACAATTCATGCATCTATGCATTATTTATGAACTTCATCGACTTTGAATTTTATGATCTCTCAAGTAGTCAATATATTTATATTTCTTTTAAATGTTTCGTCAGGCTAATGATTTATTCTGAGTAGATTAATATTTTCATAATTTTTATGAATTCCATTTTTCAAAAAAAATGATTTCTGTTTTGCTCTTATTGCAGATTTTCGGCTATTTCAAAAAAATGTCTTTTTATTATAACAAAAGTTCTTAAATTAAACATACAAAACATTGCCCACTATGAAAGCCCGTTGAAACAAGTTCAGAGAAAGAAATATTTTTTATTGCGTTTCAACGCAAAAAAGTATCGTATTGCGCTTAATCGCAAAATTATTGCGTTTAAATGCAAAAGATTGCGATTAATGGCAATCTTTTGCGATTAAACGCAAAGTATTTTGCGTTCAAACGCAAAATACATTGCGATTATATGCAATCTTTTGCGTTTCAACGCAATGATTATTTCGATAAAACGCAATGTTTTGTGTATAAACGCAATAAAAATATTTCTTTCTCTGAACTGGCCTCAACGGGCTCTGTAGCCCACTATCTTAGGCATTATATTACCATATTTGGGCTTATTGTATTAAGTTCACCTGCGTGTCCTGTATGATGAGTCGCAGGATTTCGTACCACATTGCATTGGCCGGCCTGTAGATGACCGCTGCCCACTGAATTCCAAACAAGGGAATAAGAACAAAAGTAGCCTTTATAGCTCGCCTGGAAAAGTAACATGATTAATATAAAGAGTAGGACTACACTGGAGGTATTTTTATTCGTTTATTATCAAAGAAATTAAGACCTAATCGAAAATTTATAAAAAATCATGGCAAGGAATAATTTTTTTTTATGCCAGAAGATAAAACTACATCAGGATCCTTGTTCTTACGACACAGAAATTTTCTTTAGATTTTTTCTTTCTCAAATAAAAAGTCGTCAACAATCATCACTGTATGAAATATTTTTAATGCTGAGAATTTGAGCTTGTTTATTGAGTATTATAAATTCATCGAGAGTTTGAACTTTCGTTAGGCGGTAGACATTCTTCTACTCAAGGATAAAATTTGTTTAAATTAATTACATTTTTCTTCTCATATCACACTGAACAGTCGATTCCGAAGAGATGACAGTAAATGTCATCGTGTCGCGTTTTACATTGTTTAATAGGTTATGCTTTTTCATCATGTCTTAACTATTAATGTTTCAGTCCCACCAACTCTGATATCTTGATTTGATCTCCAATTTTTTATTCAAATTCGACATTTCCTCTTTTTTGAAAAGGACGAAACTGTTATACAGCTTTTAATATTTCTCGTGATTAACGTTTTTAATAAGGTATCAAACTTTCTATCTCTTTATACAAAAACCCAAACATAAATGTCTTCAATATATATTTCCTTTCTTTATATGCCTATTTGAGCATAGACATGCCTTGACATCGAGTATATTCATTTCTTGTCAAAAAAAAAAAGGAAATGCGAAAATATCCGATACGTTGACCTTGATATCGTCCCTCAACCTAAACAAACAAAATAGAATCGACAGCGATTTCACTAGACAGAGAGTTAAAACTTAAAAAAAAAATTAATCCACAAAGGAGTGGATTCTGTGGCATGTTTAGTTGCAAATTTCAGGGAAATATATGACTAAGGACTGTAGGCTTCAGACATTCTTAAATGGCCACTCTTTAGCTTATTATTGATATACCGGAAGACAGATACGTCTCCTTTCTGGTTTGATAATACTGCTGAAAGGATTAATAGCTAAAGAAGAGGGGGGGGGGGATAAATTATGTAGATTAAGGCTAATAACCTGTATGATTAGATATAAGGTAATGACTAATTAATTTATACTGACCTATATCCACTTGGTTCGTTGGGATGAGACTGTAGTTGAGTCAAGAGAATATATAGAATATTCCCAAGGAAGAAAACATTTGCCTGCAATGAAGTATTTATAAAACACAGAGTCGGAATCGTACATGAATAGATAAAAGAATACGTGTAAATACATTTATAAATCAATATCACATATAGATAAATCAGAAAAAAAGCGTTATTTCGAACATAATCCACATTTTTGATTTCTTTAAATCTATAAGTAGTTATAAAGATTAAGAGGCATAGTTTTTGAAATTCAAGGGTTAAGTTGTACTTACAAATAGGCAGAGTAGATTTGGCGTGTAGATCAGCCATTCAAATCCATTGATATTATTTATCCAGCAACTATTTTAAAAACATATAAAATTATAGAAAATAATCAACTTACATTACATTAAAATTAATTTTTTAAATAACCTAAGAAATCTTAACTCTAATGATATAAGAAGTTTTTATTTTCTTTATCCACACATTTTTTTTATTCTTAAATCTTTATTTTTAATTCTAAGTAACGTAAATGAATATCTTGATGATAACTGCTGCAAAGAAAATATCAGATCGTGTATTCATACACTTTCGAGTTATTCCTCTTGTGTTGCAGTTACCTTTTTATGTAGCTATTTGTCATTGAAATAAATAACATATTATCACTTTTGATCGGGATTGAATAGAGAAATAATATGAGTCTATTTAGATATTACCTAAATTATGGCTCAAATTCTAAAGCAGCTATTAGCGTGTTCTCATCGACGTCTGTTGTAAAGGACGAATACACGTATCCAAAGTACAAAGTATACAGGTAGATTGATTGTTTGATTCTTGTTTTACGTCCCGTTTGAGAATTTTTTACTAATATAGAGACGTCACCATATACCGGTGAAGGGCTTCAAATTTAGACCTTTACTCGGAACTCGGGGCCATTGAGCAGTGAGGGTAATTTATCGTGCCAACGCCTACCGTGACACGGGGCCTCGGTTTTTAAGGTGTCATCCCGAAAGACCCTCAACTTTCACTCCTCGGTGCCTTCGCCGAGAAGGAACAGTCGTTACCTATTTCTTACCGACTTGGGTCAGTCGTGGCCGTGATTCGAACACAAGACCTTTAGATCACAGACCTAGCGCTCTACCGACTGATCTACCTTGACGGTAGTAGCTTATTTTAAAATCAGAAATATTACACTTGATATAATTTCATCACTGACTATTAGGCTTTCATAATATGCAAGTGTAAGGTGCAAGAAACAATCTCTTGCAAAAGGTTAAATGTTTACTTGTGACATATGAATCATACAAATGGAAAGAAGATTTTCGTACACGGTTCGATAAAAGCATTAAAAGTATTGATCTTACGAGTTCGCAAGTTAACAAAAGATACTTAATTCTGATTAAAAATGTCATCTGGCATGGAGTCTTTAGATAATATTCATCTTTTAGGCTATCAAATACAGGCCCTCGGATGACCGAGAGCAGTTGCGAATGGTAACTAAGTAACCAACCACAGATATACCCTTTCTTGACTGCTGTATTCACGCAGCGAAGTCACAGATGCTTTGCACTATACTCCTAAGTCTCAATTGATTGTCCTTCGTTGGAAATCGGCTTACTATGGTTGAAGATATAAATTTGAGGCCCTAAAAATGTGAAAATGCCACCTTTTTGCTTTGATACCCAGATCCCTTGTTCACCGTCTACCACAATAACAGTTTAAGCTTGCAATATACATTCCTTTGATACCTAAATTATAAGGATTGGAAAATTGCAATTAGGATGAAATGTGAAAGGCATTCTATTAGAGTATGCTATGGCTAAATCGTCGCACTTCAAGGACCATGACATTTTAATGAAATGCTTTTGTTTACACTATGTACTTAATTAAACAAATAATCTGAAACGCAGGCGAAGCTGCAGTGAGGTACTTTTTTTTTGCTTAGCTAAGGTATATTAGCATTTCAACTATTTGATTTTATAGAATGTTCGATGTGCTTCGTAAAATTACATCATACTAATTACGTACGTTTTATAAGAGATATGCACAGGTACTGATCAAATCTGGTATATATTGAAAGTACTTCAAAACAAAATCTTACAGATGGTGCCACCGCAGCTCTGACAAACGTATTTAGATGAGAAAATCTAACCACTATTATTGACATAATTACGTGTACTTTATAAGAAGCAACCTAAACAGTCAATATGTTATATCAAATTTATATTTCAAATTACACGTCTCTTGAAGCCAAAAATTAATAAAAATTGAGAGTAAAGTTATGTATTAAGGAACTTTGATTTAGAGAAGAAAGTTCAGACGTGTACATTCACTATAATAATTATTATTATCCAGGACATGAAAACAAGCTCGGTGAAAAGTATAATTAAAATAATTATCTCCAAGGTAACAAAAATATTACACTTTCGTTTAGGTATGTCACTCCTGACATGAGTTATATCAAAGGATTTCTGAGAATTAAAATATAGTTTACTCATAATTCATGACTCAAAATCGCAAAGTAAATTGAAGGTCAATGTGCGTCTTGCTGAGAAATACAATTAACTTTACCTTGGTGCATTTCAGTTTTCGATTTAAGATAAAAAATTAATCACGTTAACCCTTAATATATTTCATCGAATGTAATCATAGCAATAAATATAATATTATTTCATAAAATATAGTTTGAATGATATTTAATTTTGACAAATTCTGCAAATTAATGCCGTAATTTATTATGCTACCTTTTTGCACTAACAAAGTACTAATTTCAAGTTCGTGGCATTAAAAATCTAAACGGGCAATCAAATATTTCCTTGTATTAAGCTTTTTTATGATTTTAGTCCTGATCTGCCTTAAGTATTCTTGAATTGGACTTTAAACAACATACAATCAATCAAATCCTAAGTATCGTGTATTTAAAAATACTGAGATCTTAGGTGATGTAAATTTTGAGATACAGTTCAAAATATGTGATTTTTTAGGCAAAAAACAATCTTCTGTAAATTTTTGAATTGACTTCTTCAATACAAATGTATGTTTATTTTGTGGCAAAGTGTGTTCAGTAAATGTGCAAAAAATAGTTCTAAAAATGTCACTGGAAACCTATACTAAATATTCCTAACACATATACATGTATTAGCAAAAATATTTCCAAGTAAAACTCTTTACTACTTAAGTTCAAAGCCGTCGCGGTACCTCAGTCGGTAGAGCGCTCGCTTTGTGATCGGAAGGCCATTTGCTTCAAATAGGCCGCGACTGATCTAAGTCGATAAAAAAAAAAAAAAAAAATAGGTAGCAACTGTTCATTCGCCAAGCGTTCGGCACTTTGAAGTGAACGTTGCGAGTCTTTCGGATGAGACCTTAAAAACCGAGACCTCGTGTCAACGAAGGCATGATAAAATACCCTCACTGCTCAATGGCCCTAAGTGCCGAGTTAAGGTCTAAATTTGAAGCCCTTCACCGGTAAATGGTGACATCTCTATATGAGTGAAAATTTCTCTAACGGGACGTTAAAGAACATACAATCAATCAATCAATCCCAGATATTAAATGAAATGAATAAGCAGACTTGCAGAATTTTTAACTAAATATTTTTCCATCATAAGAAATAGTCCCCCATAAATCTTAATTTTTTTATGATTTGTGAGCAGCTTTTAAACTGAATATTGTATAATTTCCATTGTTTAATTCAAATATGTTATGAAAATGAATTGTAATTGACAATTTTGACAACCCTTTCTCAAAAGCTGACGAGTAACATACCTTAATGGTAATATTTGCAACAAGTACAGTATTTCTTAAGCCGTGTGAAAACTTTTATCAACTTAACATCTTTAGATATTGACATACTTTTGGTCAAACTCAGACACGCTAGCCTTGATTATGGAATACACAACTACGGGAATCCAAGGAGCACCTGTTAAGAAAAAATAGTAATATCTATTATGAATCATTTTTATGCTATTGTTCTTTGTAATACTTTTCTATGCCACGTCTTAAACAATGTCTGATGAAATTATTTTCTATGGAAAGATTTTACAGTAATAAGCATGAAACAGTTGTAAATATGGTGTTTTGAATGTTTTTTTTTTCTTTATACTTGACAAAATTAAGTTAGAGTAAAGTTCGAGGACTAAAAAGAAATAAACATTAAATAAAAGATGGAATCCTTAACGTATCTTGTTCTACTAAATATTTTTATTGCATAGATACTCGCCTCAGATACATAAGAGGTATTAAAAGGTAATAAACTACATGTATATGTAGCGAAACGAAATATTCATTGGTTTAAAAAATACTTTTTAGTCTAAGTCTAAGGTTAAGTATTTCAAAGTCTCCCACTCTTGGTAAAGTCTGTAAAATTCAAATCTTTTGCATTTTGATATCGACTCAGGCTAAAGCATAAAAGGGTCTTCATCGTACCAGTACATAGAGTGACAAAGGGATTTCAGTTTTTTTTTTTTTACGGATTAGTTGATATACCTGTGACCTCCAATTTAATTTAATGCAAGTGTATTGCAAACAAGCAAATTCAAAGAATTGTGGTCCCCTGCTTTCGGTTTCTTAGTGGCTGGGATGCCATTATTTACGGTATATTGTAACTGTCTTGTTTGTGTGTTCTGTTTTGTTCCTGCATTATTCAAAAAAGATTAATAAAAGTTATGGCAAAGATTATACCTTCTCAAAACAACATCAAACTTCATGATCAAGGTCATGAGGTCAGATAACATAATAAATCCGAAAGGCTTGTTACAAGTAATATACATTTGGAAAAAAATATCAAAAGCCAGAGTACACAGTAAGAAAGGCCTTGAAACAGGTAATGCACATGTCAAATGTTTATGTCATATCTTCTCTCAATCAAAAGTTATTAGCAGTGTTAAAATTTTTGAAAAGTAGATCAAACTTCAAGGTCAAAGTCATGGGATTAAAAATTATAGTATATTTGGAAATGCTTGACACAGGTAATGCACGTGTCAAATATGAATGCCCTATCTTTGCTCCTTCAAAAGTTAGCAAGACTGATGAAATATTTGAAAAAAGGGTCAAACTTGAAGATGGAGGTCACGGTGTAAAATATTAAAGCATATTCGGAAACATTTTGACATAAGTAATGCACTTGTCAAATATGAAAGCCCTATCATATGTCATTCAAAAGAAATCAGCAAAGTTCAAAAACTTTCAACGTTCAGCAACGTTCAAAAAAGTTTGAAAATTAGGTCAAACATGAAGGTCCAGATCAAGGGGACAAAAAAATCATAGCATTCTCAGAAACACCTTCTCACTGGTAATGTACATGTCAAATACGAAAGCCCTATCTATTCTCAATCAAATGTTATAAGTAAAGATATAAATTTCGAAAAGTAGGTCAAACTTCAAGGTAAAGGTCACGGGGTCAAGGTGGTCAAAAATCATAGTATGTTTGGAAAGATCTTGTCACAGGTAATACACATGTCAAATATGTAAGCCCTTTCTCTTCTCAATCAAAAGTTATAAGTAAAAATGAAACTTTTGAAAAGTAGATCATCAAGGTCAAGGTCACGGGGTCAAAAATCATAGTATATTTGGAAAGGTCTTGTCACAGGTAATATGCATATGTAATATGAAAATCCTATCTTTTTTCATTCAAAATATATGACTAATTTAATGTTATGTTAAAATTTTTGAAAAGTATTTCAAATTTCAAGGTCACGGGGTCAAAATTTATAGTATATTTGGAAAGGTCTTGTCACAGGTAATGTACTTGTGAAAAATGAAAGCACTATCTCTTCTCATTCAAAAGTTATGACCAAGATTAAAGTTTTTGTAATAGACAGACTGACAGCTAGACAGACGGACAGAATGACTGACTGACACACAGACGAATGAGATTTAATGTCCTCTCGCTTCCACGAAAGCGGGGGACAAAAAAGTTCTTTTGTCAGGCGTGTCCAACTCATGATCATGACTCTGAACTCATGTAATGAAGGTCTTATATATAACCACTTACACTACTACAATTTAGTGGAATGGAATGGTCTCAACTCATTAGTTATTTTCATATTTGTTTTCTGAGCACCTCTTTCGGAAGTCATTTTTGTGAACACTTTGAATGTATATCCGATGTGTATGAGCGGAATTACATTAAACAAAAATGCATGATTAAGTTCCTGCAAAGTTAACTACCGGACGTGATATTTGGAATTTTATGTAATAGTTACTTGTATTACATTCACTAAATTGGGAAATAGTAATCATAAAATAAAAGTTCAAATAGAGTCAACAAAGTACGTGTAGGGCTGGATTTCACGCTAATCGGGCATCATCTTTCAAATTAATAAATTAAAATGGCAGTTCACTTTTCTATGAATCTTCAAAAATTCCGTCTTGCTTTAAATACTAACCGATAAAAATAAATATTGACAATGGTTGTGGATATATTGATAGGCAAAGTATTTATCGCAAAATGCCAAATGCTTTGAATAGCCCCAAATAAAAGTTTTTTTTATAACTAATACTAGACACATTCTGAAAAAGGGACATTCATTGTCGCTAAAAATGATAAAGCATCCGCAAATAAGTGAAGGATTTCCAGACTCAGACACGAAAAAAATCAGGTTTAATTTAGCTGATGCGACAGAAACGTAATGAAAGCCCATACACATCCATTTTAAATCCTTTATTTATGAGTTCGTTAAAATACTGAACATTAAATGAATTTCAAATTAACGACTTTTCTGACATGTAATCTGATTGAAGTTCCCATAAATATCATTCTTTCTTAAATATCTTGGGAAATCAAGTGAAAATTTCTTCAGGGATAAAAATTGCCAATATTTGACATTTATTTTAAAGAAAAAATATACGGAGGTTCTTCATGAACATCTTTTTACATGGTTGAGTATGTGTTTTAAAAATCAATAGAAGGATGAAAAGGAACTTTGTTAGTCATGTAATTGACACCTGTGAAGCCCAAACGATTCCTAGCCATATTTGTTCACTTACGTAATAAAAGTTTATTTAACAGATTTAAGGTTATTTTTGTGATTCTTATATAACAAACTCCAAATATTCTTGTTATCGTCGATAGAATCCAGTATTTTAATGATTGCACCATGAGAATTTTTTGAAAATCCGTGGATTACAAAGATTGAAATCGAACACGACGACATTTCAACGAGAATCTTCTGATAGAGCTTTATTTCAAATTTCCGTAAAAAAAGGGTAAGAAAACATATCAGGGAAATTTCTACAACTGAGAATTTAAAAAAAAAAACTATTTATAAAATTTGGGAATATTTGATGTTCACCTTCTAAATCAAAACATGTTGATATGTTTCAGTGAATTCTTATAATTATTGTCAAGATGGAGAATTTTTTTGGCCCGTGCTTCGAAGCCAGAGATTATCACACAAATTTTACTAGAGGGGAAATTAAAAACATTTGATATTTAAGCCTATCAGGTTTGCAGAGAAGATTTTTCAAGAGATCCGGTAATTAGAGCTGTTTATAGCCAGCGTCTCCTCAGTTTAAAGCATGTACTGCGAAGTCTTAATCTGAGTTTCATACATTTCAAATATTTAAAAAAAAATGGCACATCATAGGTGGACTAATAAGGAAACCAAAAAGATAGCAAAAGATAGAGTTGTCAAAGACAACTAAGTTGCAAAAGTGTCCTTCGAAGTGGAAACATGTTTTAGAGTGCAAACATTGAAAGAAACGTTGAAAACATTACAAGAAAATGTAAAGAAAGTTCTGAGTACTCATGTTAATTCTATAATTTATACTATACCAGACTTCAATTACGTCATTTCCTGTTGTAAATCTACTATAGCAGAAGCTTGCTTTGAAAATTTTAACGCATTTTTATCAAAGTTTCTCCGAAGCAAATCATTTACAAGTTCCTTTTCAAATCGTGATTCATAGTAGTATTTTTATCTCAGCTTTTCGAATTCAATTTCCCACTTGTATGCATAAAATATTTCTAAATGTATCATGGATATAAATTCCGGAAAGAGTTATAGCCCGAAAAAAATTAGGGATCATAGTAAATCAAAATGAGTTTAGAAGTATTAAAGAGAGTTAAGCTTGAAAGTATCCTAAATTTTGATTGCGGTTTGTTGACAGTTGTCATGTTCTAAATTGTATTTACTTCCACCCGGTAAATTCAAAATTTAGAACATGACACTAGAAAGGACTACATTGTAATAATACTTCAACTCGAATTTAGATATATTGACGACGTATTATCAATTAACAATAGTTATTTCCATTCAAATGTCGACATATGTCATATGTCGACAGCAATATACCCTTACCTGTATCACCTGTGTATGGGGTGTATATCTCTCAGTTGATTCGATACGCAAAAGCATGCTCTACTAACAGTTTCTAAAACGAGGTAAGTTATTGACAAACAAGTTGATGAAAGAAGAATATCAACAGTCTCATTTAAAGTCATCATTTCGTAGGTTATATGGTCAATACAATGACCTTGTCAGCAAATACAATATATCATAAATTATATGCTGACTGACGTTTTTCATAATAATTGTTAGGCCATTATTTCCACACTGAATTGTCGACGTATTTTTCCGTTATTTAGCAAACGGCGGGAGTGACCGGTCGGTAGGGATGCTCACTTCTCCATGGCACCTGATCCCACCTCTGCTTTTTGAGGTCCGAATTTGCTCTGCTCCCGATTTGTATTGTTTTAATGGACTTTGAGCTTGAATACAGTTCGTTATTTCCATATTTCATTTCAAAGATTATATAAAAATCTTAATAAGGTGTGAAGGAGTTTTTTTTCTTTTTGATTACTCATAAAAATGAAAACTGATTGGAAGGAATCTTTTCATTTATTCTGTGATTTATTTATTTAGTTTTGGATGCTGTCTCACTTAAAACATTTCCTGTTATAATAAAAAAAGAATATTGAATGGAAATGACAATCAATATGAAATGACTTGTAGATGAATTGATAGCATGGCATGTTTACAATTAAAAAGATAAACTACGTGCACATAACATCCTGAAAGTATTTATGTCAAGGTTAAAAACTATGCAATCCTCACCTATACCGATGACGTAGTATATGACAAGAGATTTGGGGATTTCGAATGCACGTACAATCAGGCGATGCAAGTGAAACCCTTCACAAAACATCCAAAAGTAATTAGCAGACTGGGTATACCGTTTTAAAACGTACAAAAACTTACATCCTCCCTAGAAAAGAAAAAAAAATATGGCCATATATACTGTATGTGCGTGTACGTTCCACATAATATTAATATTATTGTATTTTTACAATAATATAGATTACATTTTATAAACCTCATATGAGTTATAAATGTAACATTATTTGTCTTAAATTTTATGTTAACTTACATGTAAAATATAATTTCTACCAAAAAAATAAACATTTCAGGATATTTCCAAGAATTTTTATACCATATTTTGTTCAATTATGCTTTTGCCCCCAGCATTGTGCATTCTGTCAGAGACGACGATGAAATCCCATAATACTGCAATGATTGAAGTGGCGATAAAGGAAGAGAAGAAACAAATGTGAAGACGAACTCTTTGTTGATCACGAAGCTGCCTGAAAGAGAATGACTCTTTTCTTATACAAGTTCCTCTCTTTATACACAAGTTCCTCTCTTTTCATATACAAATGCCTATTTCGGCTTTTTTTCTATGGTCGTATATTTATCTATTTTAAACATTATATGCCCTGAGAATAAAAAAAGATGATATATCGAATCCTTCAATATGTTTTATTTTCATAATGTAAGACTCGAAGAGTTAAGGTACATATGTATGATTCTTTTTTTTTTTAATGTAGATATTTAAACAATCAATGTCAAAATAAAATAATGCGTAATGCGGTTGTCTTAAACTAAATTTATTTTAAATTATCCATTTTGAAAGACATCAAAGAATACTATGTTTTACCTGAATGCCAGAAATATGATGCACGATGGTATGAGGAGAGATAGACTGACTAGATTACAGCCCAGTCCTAGGTATATCAGCATCATTTGACCCTGTATCAAACACATTTGAAATTTTTAAATGTAAAAACAGGAAAAAAAGAAGCGAAACATCATTTAATATGAGAAGAATATTGACATTCTAATCTGCACTTTATGTCGCTTTTTTTCGGCAGGGGATATGCTCACTCCTCCATGGCACCTGATCCTACCTCTGATGTTTGTTCTGCTCCCGATTTGTATTGTTTAAATGGACTTTGAGCTTGAATACTGTTCGTTATCTCCATATTTCATGTATTGATTTATGAATATTACATGGTTGTTTAAGTTGTTGGATAAAAAAAATGCTGAATTGCTATATATTCAAAACTTTTTTTTCTCTTTTAACATAACCGATTGACAAGCACTTTTGATCACGAGCAAATGAAAGATCTAAATTAAAGATGCAACTGATAAGCAAAAAAAAAAACCCGGAAGAATATAACCTTATGTATCTAAATAAATATAATAAATGTATTTAGGTGGTACACGTACACATTCGATACATTCTTTTTACAAATGTATGTTGGAAAATGTTTTTAAGTACTTTTTCCTGATACTCAAATTATTTTATTGCAACATTTGATTAAAATCACATGTATTACAATTTATCTTATCACTATTGTCATAATGTTTAAATATAGAAATGATTTCTGTGGATTAACGACCTTACCTTGACTTTACTATGAACACAGGTACTGTAATTGGTCCACTGTCGTCCTGAGAGAGGGTGTACAAACCATGTACCGTTCGGCCAACATACCTTATAGGCATTTTCTGTAAAAATACTACCCCTTTAAAAAGTCTGTATTAATTGTATTTGTTTTAATTGTGTAATTCTGAAAAAAAAACATGAATATAATTATGTCTCAGCATATTCCTATAGAAAACAAAATGCCATGGAGCGTAACATGTACATGTAGAGACGAAATTTTAATGGATTCTGGACATTATAATACCCCCCGCTTGAAAAGTATGTGGGAGATAAAGTGAGTGGGGTGTCCGGGCGTAATACTTTGGGATAGCCATTCTTTACTTTATCCGCAACCCCTTGTTACATGTACACCCCAGAATGCAGTTTATTGAAACTTTCACCAAATCGATATAACATAGTGGCATTGTGCACCTTAGATCGGACTGATATTTGAGGTTGCTCGAGCAAAACATTGACACTGCAATTCTTTCTATTATATTGAGGGAATCCATTTCTTATCTGCAACTCCTCCTATACCACTAAATAAAGTTTAAAAAGACTTCCACAGAATCTTTATTACATGGGGATGGTGCCATTGTGCACCACCTATATTTTACGTTTTGATCAGACGGATATTTGGGGTTTTCCTAGCAAAACATGAATACTGCCATTCTTTCTATTATACTGGGGCAACCCATCTCTTATCCGCAACTCCTCCTATACCACTGAACAAAATTTCATGAGACTTTTACAGAATCTTTATTACATAAAGTGTTTCAAAATATCTTTTTCGTAACATGCATGTACCTGTTTCACTGGAAGTGAACAGTACTAACCACTGTCCTCGATTTATATTACTGCACATATAGTTGTTCAGATTTAAAACTCATCTATACATTAACAAAAAACCAAAGATACCACGCTTCCCATTTTTACCTTTTTTATTCCTTTCTTTTGAGTAATAATTTACAGAAATTTCATTGAAATTAGAAAACGTGTTGGCTTCTGCCTCCGTCTAAATCAAAAGGGGGTGATTCTTGACTTTTAATGAAAAATCTTCAAAAAGCAGATATACCCACTTGGGTTTCGTCAAGACATTCAGCTTAATAAATATTTTATCGATTTCGATCCCAAGCGATTTATTTCTGGAAATGGCAACAAAGTGGGATTAACTATAATTGCATTACACTGCCTTGAAGTGTCGTAAGGAGACAATCGACACATTTTAATTCGATTACAATCGTAGTCATGAATATGCTTCTCCGATATTGCAGTTTGACAACTCAGCACACAAATTGATTGACATTTTCACCAATGTTAGACTTTAATCACATTAGTACGGCTGCAAAACACACAGGGTTGAGAAGTAATGAAGGAATACATCTTATGGAACGATGGCGTAACATATTGCTATCGTGACAACGACTTCCATTGGTGTTGCTAAGCCGCTTATGTCTGCTTCCCTCTAAGGTTCGTTTTTAGTCACCTTTTTGTTCTAACGTAAACCAGCTATAGACGAACATCTTCAAAACAAGGAAACTAACGCTCTTTGCTTTTCCGTTATCTACTGATAATGACAAGGAGCACACGACGGGTGTGACCGGTAGGCAGGGAATGCTTAATCCTCCATGACACCTGATCCCACTTCTGTTTTTGGAGGTCCGTGTTTACTCTGCTCCCGATTTGTATTGCTTAAAAGGACTATGAGCTTGAATACTCTTCGTTATCTCCATATTTCATATATTTGTACTTTTTATTCTAATCTCAGACGGAATTCCGGTTTTTTTTTTCGAATAAATGGTTGAATAATAACGATACCAAAAATGAAGTCTAACTGGAATTATGCCCCCACAAAGTTTAGTTTTGATAAGAACACTTAAGGACGCTCTTTACACTAAAGCAAAATGGTTTTGGTCAATGAGAAAACTATATTGTATAAGGGTGTAAATTTTGAGCTTATTTGTTTCATTTTCAATATAAGTACCTAGCATTTATCTCAGAAAAATCAAATACAACAACATATTGATGAAAGAAATCACTGTTGTTTACTTAATTGGGGAAGGTACATGTATATACAAACAAAGTGTTAGGTCCATTTATCTTGGCCTATTCAAATGTTACGAATCATTGTATTAATTACAAATTCAGTAATACACTATAGATTTTAATTTATTCGATTTAAGATCTACGGGCAAATTACTCTAGCTGCATAAAAATACAAAAAATTGAAATTCTATAGTGTGCAGAGAGGGTTCTTAAATGTGAAGTAAAATTAGTAATATTTACTCATTAAAGACGCATTAAATCAAGGATTTTACTTAATTTTTTACCGCACGAATGTCTTTAGGTCCAAACATAAAATAGCATAAACCATTAAATCGTCGGCAGTTCGAACATAAATGCTTATTCACTTCAGATGCCAGCTGATTGCTGTGGATGTCATTTGAAGTGTGCACGGTTTTTTTAAATGTATTATTTTGCAAGGAAAAAGAACAAAAGAAAACAGTTCCTCCCAGTAAAAGTTTTCAAGAAAGTCAAAAAAGATTATTTTATCTTTGATTCAGAAGAACACTTTGGAGATAATAGACAGGGAGTAAAATGTTAGGTTTTTTTGTTTGTTTGTTTTACTTCTATTTTTAACAAAAGACGTTTTTCCCAAGTCAATAAAATCTTTCAGGCACTTACTGTAAGTGTCTACTCTTGATCTAATGTATGCCCGTTTGTTTTCTCAGAATAACAGAGGTTTTGAATAATTCATAAACGTATTCTTCTCATGTCAACAGGATAACTTCAAGAACGATAAAACCATAGTCATGTATCATAAAGCAGCTAGGCTTGCCTTTAAAGAAGAGAACTGTAGCTCCTTTTATTTATCAGTAGGTAACTTTAATTTTTCGTTTTATTTTTATTGGAATCATTGCAAAAAAGCAAAACAGGGAATACATTTTGAAGGAAATGAAAGTAAAACAATTCGTTCATCTTGATTTATGGTGTATTTTAAGATCAAAATAGACACATATAGTAGAAAACACCTGTATCCCATTATTTTGTTTTATATAATATTGTATTACTCTCCGAATTCGCCACCTGCGAGCAACATGAATCAATTATTTATAAATTTATATCATAAAAAACTCAACATTGGAGAAACAATATGACACCTTTGCCTCAAGCATGAAGTAAAACCAGTAGACAAAGCTTGTAAGAGGTATTTTGGAGAAGATCTTTTTTAATGTCGACCAACTTTCTGACTGGAAAATGCTCTTAAATCAAGATTTTATGTAATTTCCTGCCTGAACTTAGAAAAAAAAAAACATAATTGCCAAATTTCTGACGGCGATAATCTTTTAGTGGGTATCGGATTATGGCTCTTACATTATTAATCAAATTTTACAATTTAAATTTGTTTTTATATTATTCATATCAAATAATGACTATTAACGTAACAATTGCAAAGATAATACATGACAGGAACAAAAGTTCCATTTAAAATCCTATACCAAAAATTTATCAAAAGTCAAAAAGGTTCCACTTTATATCAACTTCCGAAACACCAGCTTCGAAAAAAAGGCTACACCGATAACCCTTATGCAAATTAAATACGTCTCACATTGCATGATCAGCGATATCAAAATAAATGCAATAAATTTCTAATCCGAACTCCATGGGAAATAAACAACTTCAATGAGAGATAACGATTTACAAATCTAATCCCAAGTGTTGATTTGTCAGATGGGACCTTCTAGTTTTAGGATAAAAGTCTACAGAAAGGCAGATTTATGAATACAACTATAGATAAAGAATGTAGCCGAACTTTCTACCGGCGAAGTAAACATTTACAAATCTATTTCAGCATGTCAATTTCGCCGAAAAAAACATACCAACTTAATGTTTAATTTCCACTATCTTATCTATATAGCTATACACTTGTACATTTGTCAATGGTGAATCTGCTCAGTGTTAAGAAAACAGACCACAGACATTGCAGGAATCGTAGGATTTTGTTACTCTCTGGTTTTCTAGCTCGTTATCCATTTTATTTCAAACAATATCCGATATATTTCCTAGACCAGAGCTTCTACTATAGCAGGGGACTTTTATTAGAGGCATTGGAATCATGTACAATGTCATATAGGAATTTGAATGACCCTTTATCGATCAGAACAAAACATAGTGTAGATTTCATATTAATCTTGAGGTACAAATAGAATAATTGAGACTTTTGTGAAATTTTTATGACAGGGAACAAAATGTTTGCTAAATATTAGGCAGTGTGAGAGTAGATTTGGTTAATAATGCGGGAAAATCTATACATTCTTCTGTTTGTCTTCCCAACTATTTGGTTACCGAATCCCGCTCTTCCTACTATAAGACCGCGGAACATTAACTTGCAAAATTGGAAATATGCAGCTTACGTCATTTCCATCTGTTACAGTCAAAATGTCTAATGATAGACAATGAAATGGGCGGGTACAATTTGGCACGGACGTCTGAGAAAACATTGGATTGAAATTCTAGTTTGAAATTCATTTTCAATCCACCTCAGCTACGCTAGAATCATGGTGTTACGTGTACTGATTGACCCAACAGACAAATAATTTCAATTTCGGAATAGTTTGAAATTTATATAAATCAGAATTTCTGTTCAGTGTTTTAAAAGAAATTTGAAGGGACAATTAAATATTTGATTTCTGTTAGGTATGTGCATGCGTGTGATGGGTGAGGCGGGGGGGGGGGGGGGCTGAACAATCTTGGAAATAAAAAAAGAAAGTTTTTTTTTTTTTTGTTTGGTCAACCCCTCCCTGTTTTCGATTGTCAAACATTTTTCAGTGAGGATAAAAATAAGAAAATAGCTCTTGTCATCCTAGAAATAAATATATTTTGTCATGTGAAGGCATGATCTTACTCGACAATTTTTGAAACCCCCCCCTTTCTAGAATCAAATAGCCGTTCCTTGAAAAAATAATCTCTGTCTTCTATGACTTTTACGTGTCCTTAAAATTATAAGCTAAAAAACTCAAATAAATATGAATTTCAAACGACATGTATTTGGGAATTGAAATTATTTGTCTTTTGAATCATA